CTCTGGGAATTCCATCCCAGCCCCTCCCCACCCTCCCAGGCTTGGATTTGAACTGCCACCCCYTCTCCCCAGCCGGGGACTCACGGATCCAGCTTGAAGGCATACTGGCCCTCGGGCAGGCGCTCCTGCAGGTAGGTGAGGTTGTAGGTGAGCATGGTGCTGACCAGCTGGGCCAGCTGCTGCTTCTCCCTCTGGCTGTAGAGCTGCGTGTTCACCTGGCCAGGAGGAGCAGAGCATCACCAGCACAGAACTGACAGCCCAAACCAGCCCAGAACTGACAGCCCAAACCAGCCCAGAGCTGACAGCCCAAACCAGCCCAGAGCACGGGGTTTGTCTTGGGGGAAGGACCCAGATCAAGCTGAGTTCCCTATGAGGGACCCACATCCTTCCCAGGGCAGGGACAGACCCTCTCGGGGTGGGGGTGACTCTGCCAGCTCCCCAAAGCCCTGCTCAGCCAAGCCCACCCCAGCTGGGGCCCAGGACCCTCCACAGCCAGACAGCACCCAGTCCCAGCTTCCAACCCCAGATTTGGGACAGAAATCCAGGAAAGCTCCACAGGATGGGGTTTGCAGAGGGGCCACAGCCCCACATCCTCCCTCCAGCAGGGCTGGGGTCACTCACRGGGCGCAGTTTGGGGGTGATGATGTCCAGCAGCAGGCACAGCACGTCCAGCACCAGCTCCCGCTGTCCCACCCGGCTCCGGGCACTGGGAGCAATCCCTGACACCATGGCCAGCAGCAGGTTCTGTGCGTGGGTCAGCCTGGCCTGGGCCTGTGGACGGGGCAGGGCYGGCTCAGTCCCTGCCAGAGCCRAGGTCCYGCTGTCCCCRTGTCCCCAGGGCTCACCTCGGGCTGGCTGCTGGGGTAGGCCAGCCTGGGGGCTGTGTTGGCTGCAAAGAGCAGGTGGAAGGCCACGGGCAGGAAGGGCAGGTAGCGCAGCAGCTGGAAGCTCTGGCCGTGCAGCACCGCCCGGCCCAGCAGGTCTGAGAAGCACAGCCACTCCAGGGCCAGGCACACGGAGCCCAGGCTGGAATCCCGCACCCTGGCCTGCAGGAAATTCTCAAACAGGCCCTGAAGGGGATGTGGGATCAGGAGGATTCAGGAATTAGTAGGGCTGCAAGGATGCGGGTCAGGCCCTGAGGGCAGCTCACCACTATCCCCGGCCCCGGGCTGGGCTCGCCCTTCCCCCGGTGCTCTCACCTGGGCCAGCTTGTCCTGCTCCCCCGAGGACACGGAGAGCTGCAGAATGTGCTGGAAGCGCTGTGAGGAGGAGCTGAAGCYGCCTGAGCCCCCCAGGTGGGGCAGGTCCTCGTCCCCTGACAGGAGCTGGGCTGGCAGCGAGGGGTCCGTGCCTACCCTGGGCCTGGGGAGAGCCCAAAGGGAAGAGCTGAGGGTTTCCCAAGGCTGAAAGGACCAGGGAATGTTTGGATCCTTGGGAAGTGGGCTGGAGGCAATGGCAGCGCCAAGGTTTTGGGTGCTGAGTGATGAAAAAGCCTCTGGAATGGCTTTAAACTGAGAGAGGAAAGGGTTGGATGGGATATGGGGAAGGAATYGTTCCCTGTGAGGGTGGGGAGGCCCTGGCACAGGGTGCCCAGAGAAGCTGTGGYTGCCCCTGGATYCMTGGAAGTGTCCAAGGCYRGGCTGGACAGGGCTTGGAGCACCCTGGGATAGTGGAAGGTGTCCCTKCCCATGGCAGTGGGATGARCTTTAAGGTCCCTCCCACCCCAAACCATTCCAGGATYCCCTGTTRCAAATTTCCTCAAGAAGCAAGGTCCTGGAATCACAGAATATTGCTCCAAGTACATCCAACCCATCCTGGAACACTTCCAGGGACGGGGCACATCCCATATTCTCTGGAAAAYAGGATTTCCACCCCCTGAGCACCCAGCAGAGCCCACAAAGCCCTTCTCCTACCTCGGGCCCCTGGGCAGCTGGAAGATYTCCTGCCAGATGGAGAAGAGCCCCTTGTTCTGGTCCTTCAGGCCGACCCTCATGGTCTGCACCATCTGCACACTGAGCTCCTTCTGCCCTCGGCTGTGCAGGAACTGCAACGGGAGCAGGGGATGGAGGGATGGGGATCCCAAACCCCCTGGGGAAAGCTGAACACAGCCACACCCCTGTTCCTCCACGTGTAGGGTCACAAACAGCATGGGGACAGGGCRGCTATTTCAGGGATCTGCCTGGAAGAGTTGTGTCCCCTCTGTACC